CCCCGTCACCTTCTCCCCTCCTTTTCCTTTTGTGTTTGCCGGAGTTTCTGCTATAACCACGTTATATTAGATCTGCCGTTCCCCCCACCTCCCTCTTTTCTTTTTTTAAAGCCAGCTGGAAAAACTCCTGTTGACGTTTGTAGCGAGAGGGTGGGGGGGAAAGGAAGCTTTTTTTCTTTTTTTTTCTGGTAAAGAGTTTGAAATGGGATCTCTGTTTATTTTGTGGGGCAACGAGAAGGGAGGGCGCCCGGCGCGGACTTTGGGGGAGCGGATATTTTGGGCAAGGGGGAGGGACTCCGCTTCCCCCTCCCCGTTCCTGGGCCGCGGGGCGGAGGCGGCCGCGCGGAGCCGGCCTGGCGGGCAGCGCGTCCCCCCGGGGCCGCTCACCCCTCCTCGTCTCCCTACAGGTGCCGAGTGTCCCAGGAGCCGCCCTTGCCACTCTCCTGCTCGCAGAGGGGACGCATTTACTTAATGAAGAACATAAACACAATTAGTATTAAGTCTACAGGGACAAAGTAAGCTAAATTATAAAACAACAAATTAGCCCCATGAATTGTTCTGCTGACGTAAAACCATTCTAGATCACCAGAGATATGACCCCGAGAGCCACCACCCCGGCCTGCCGCACAACTACATGGAACCGGCGCAGCTCCTACCTCCCGACGAAGTCGACGTCTTCTTCAACCACCTGGACTCACAGGGCAACCCCTACTACGCCAACTCTGCCCACGCCCGCGCCCGCGTCTCCTACAGCCAGGCACACGGTAAAGGCCCCCGGCCCCGCTCGGTCCCCCGCCGCTCTCCCGGCGCCTCCGCGCAGGCTGACGGATGTCCTATGTGGCGGCGCGGAGCTTCGCTCGGGGCCGCTTCGGTGTCCCGGGATGGGACGGAGCGGGAAGCAAGCGAACAGGATAGAAAGGGAGGCACGGGTGGGTTTTTAACCCTAAAGACAACCCGGTGCTGGTGGCCGGGAAGGAGCGGGGGGGAGAGAGGAAGGGGAAATAGTGCGTGCATGGGCTGAAACTTCTCAGACACGGCTGCTTCCCGGATGCAAAACACAACCCGGCTCAAGTCGCCCGTGGAGTTTACGTGGGGGGGCTTTTAGGAGCAGAAGGGAGAGCACTGCGGCAGCCCGGGGGATGGAGCAGGAGCTTTGCTCCGGGGGTTCGCTCGAGGAGCGGGGCAGGAGGACGGGGGTGCCCCCCGCCCGCGCTGCCCATCTCCCTGCTCCCGGAGCCTCCCGGCCAGCCGGCATCGCACGGAGGGGGCAGCTGCAAGAGGCTCTTGCGCCAGTGCGGCCGCTCTCCTCCGGGTTGT